TTGTCATTTTGAATATTAAATAGTAGCTTGTCTGCATCATAATCAATATCAAAATTTAAAGTGAAGTGTAGAGGTTTGATGTCAAGTTTTTTCATAAATTTTTCGAAGTTAATAGTTTTGTAAGTGTGGTTTAAATATAAGTGTAAGCATGTTATATTGATGGCAACTTTTTTTCTATTATTTGCTGAGTATGGTAGAATAGAGTAATATGATCGAAAGATATGTAGATAGTCCAGTTGAGTAAAAAGTACTGTTGTAAATTTGGATAACAAGTCTTTAAGAATTTCAACTAAAACTTTAAAAGGGATAGGATTGGATTTGTCAAATTCAGAATTAGCTTCAAGAATAAAGTCAGTTAGGAATTTGGGTTTGCTACTAGCCATTTTGTTAGTATATAGTTAAATGAATATTTGGCAGGAGGTCTGTTATTTGGTTTTGTGTCAGTTGGTTCAGTTAAGATTGGTTGACCTAGATTGAAGTTTACAAGATGTGATTTTAGAAGTGAGAAGACTTGTAAAGCTAGTGATGTGCTCAATTTACTGTGTTATTGCATTTCAGAAGTAATAGGATAGTTTAGAAATCAGTCAAAATCATTTATTGTATCGCATTTTTGAGTAGTTTCTTTTTCTTTTTATTTATTGTTTTGTTTTTGATCATTATCATTTGGGTTTTTTTGGATTTTGTTGGTTTTTGTTTATTTGTTTTCCTTAGAATCATTTATGATTTTGACTTTCTTAGGTAATTTTGTAAGGAATTTTTTAAAAAGTATTCATTTTTCTTCTGCTGATAATTGCCAGTATTTGATTTTATAGTTTAGATTGCATTGTTCCTAGTTCATGGGTGTTGAAGGAGTTGAGTATTTTAGTTTAAGAGAATGAATACATTTTGTGTGAGCAGGAAAGCTTCCTTTACTAGTTGCAAAGGTTAAAGCTTGTGGGTCTAAAGAGTGTTTGCTGTCTTTCAGAATAATACATAATATATTCTTGATTTTGCATTTAATGCAAGTATGTGCATGATGTGAGTATAGTTTGAAAGGAATAGGATTTGTAGAGGTTTTTCTAATATCACTGCAGAAGGTAGGGAATGGATGAGTGATTTCATGTTTTGGCTAGAATTTGGATCTTGAAAGGCTTTTGAGAGACTTGAATAATTTCATATCAAAATCGATTTCCATAGAATTAGATGAGTCTAGAGTATTTTCAGAAATAGATTGTAGATGTACTAGAATAGTAATATGTTGAGAGGCAAAGTATGTGTGATATTTTTTGCAGAGACAGGTAGTGATTACAGGTTCAGTAGGTTTAACAAAAAAATAGAAGTTATTTTGAGAGTCACATGATGTAGGATTGAAATTGGTAGGTAAAACTTTAAGGGTTCGTATATTACTATCATGAGTAACAGTGCCGAAACTGGTACTATGTTTGGCAATGTAATTATCAAAGTCAAAAGAGTTGGGTTCAATAGTAATAATACTTGGCATTGTGTGTAACTATCTTTTTTGGTAATAAATATAAAATTTAGATAGTACAAATTGTTTGTATAATATTGATTTTAAGAAAATTTTTCTAATTTTAAGAGCTATTAGGTTATTTAGAAGTGATTTGTTGATTGTAGTATATTTGTAGGAGCTAATTGGGTGTTTAGGAAAATTTAATAGGTACCAAAAAAGTGAAATTTCCAGGGCACCCTTGCAGTTTTTTCTAAAATGCCAATGAAAAAACCTGTAATGACAGGTTTTAGTTTTCACCTTTTTATTTGTATCTTGGTGAGTTTTGGTTTGTTTAAAATAAATTATATATCAAATGACCGGCTTGATGTGCTTGATATTTTTCTACTAAGGGTTAAGATATGTTAGCTTAGTAAAATATGGAGTAAATGAGCAAAAAACAAAATTTTAGTTTTTGGGACTTTTCTCAGTAGCCAAGTGTTGTTGGAACTTGAGACTTGGCCGCCTAGATGGAGAAAAGTGAGCTTAACAACTTTACTTAAGAGTACAAGTAAGGTTTATTTAGTAAAATTTTGAAAAATAATTAAATGTTTTTTAGCAAAATTTGGTACAAGTGATCTACAAAGAGAGTTACAGAATAGAATCTCTCTCTAAATTTGTTATTTATACCTCCTATCAAAAATAAAACTTTTTTAAAATTTAAGCAAAGATATCTTGACAAACATTTAACTAAATTCAACAAACTTTTTTATTTAAATTCTATAAATCTATAGAACTCAAATATAAAAAAAATTTATTGAATTCAGTTAGGTAATTGTTAAGATATATTTGCTCAAAGGTAAAGAAAATCAAAATATCTATTAAAATAAAAGCTGTGCCAAAGTTTTTTAAAAATTAAGCTAAGATATCTTAACAATTATCTAACCAAATTTGATGAACTTTTTTTATTTAAATTTTATAATTTTATAGAATTTAGTTCATCTGCTTGTATCTTTAGACCTTATCTGTGTGAATTTTTTTTTATAATAAAGACTCCTGTATAATATCTTTTATTATATCATATCTGTTGATTTACATTATTAATTTATATTAACATTTAGGAGTACTTACTTAAAACCTATATTAGACTCATATTTTGCATATCTATATTCATACTATAGATGGCAATGGTTAGTTATTTTCAGCTAGCTATTTTGTAACTGTTAGCTATATCTCATGATCTAGTATCAAAATTGGATTTGAATAGTATTAATATTATCCAATTTGGATTACTAGATCACAAGATAGCTATGGTTTAGTCAGTTTATTAAGCTAAAAATGACTAACCATTGCCATCCTAGCATATATACCTATTTTATATTCATAAACTGGCTCTCAGTTGTAGTAACACTAGACCATATTTATAAAGTTTTATAATTTTAAAAATCTGCATTTCTTACTTTAAATTGGCAATTAATAGTAAGAGTTTCTAAACAATAAACTTTTGATTTGATTGAATCTTTTATATAATAAAGATTAACATGCTTATCATTATTGTTATAATATATTTACAAATTTAGTATCAGGTATAAGCAAAATTTATAAATAGCATATAATATACAAATCTTATATATCGGTATAATATACAAAAAGCTTCAAAATCATGAGAATGAATTATCAAATAAATATATTGAATAGGGTATACCCTTTCACTTGGCATATAACAATGTACTTAGTTTCTGATATAATATACCTTTGTCTAATTAGAAATGCCTACTTTCTAATAATAATAAATTAACTTACACTAATTTGCTCACAAAAGGTCTTCATGCTATTATAATAAATAGAGCATTCAAAATTTTTTGTAGTTAAAAGAGCTTCTCAATTAACTTTTGGCTTTGGTTAAATATTTTTAGAGTCCTTTCTTGTAAAAATTCCATCCTTGTATAGAGACCTGAATAATACACAATAATATTTATACTTTATATCTCCAATAATTTCAAGAAAATTACAACTGGAACCTTTTACTTGGACCTTAAACCAAAAGAAAACAATAACCTAAACTGTTTACAGTACATTGGTAGTCCTCAATATATCAAGAATCAACCAAACAGGGTAATAGCATACTTTACAATATTATATAAGCAAGATGATAAAAATGATTATTGTACTATTTATGCTACTTAAGCAGTAGATTAAAACATATTTTATTATAATATAGAATGATATATAATTATAAAGAAGACAGATTTTATTAAAATTATGAACAATTCTTTCTGTAGAGCTCAAAGCCATTATTATATGCTTTTTATTATATATGCACTTCTAAAGCTAATAAACATATTATCTGTAATTAATCCCTTTAACTAATTATATATATCACTTAAAACTCTTAATCTCATAGACAGAAGTTTATCTAATTGGCTAATTTTTTAGATTGATTTGAAGAACAACACATGATTATTAACCAATAAAATCACAAAATTTTTATTTGTTATTTTATAATATTAAAAATATTAAAAACAAAAATTTTAGGAAAAAAAGTTTAACGAATCAGTAAAGCACTAATTATATACATATAAAAGATAGATGGATATATGTAAAGAGGAGTAAACATGTTGTTCAACTACTAAAACAACCAGAACTTACTAAATTTAACTATCTAAAAATCAAAACTCATATCTATGATCTATATACTGTATAAACCCAATTTAAAAACCAAACCAATTTAAGGATGTCTTAAACCTAGATCTCTTATTGCTAACACTACTAACAAGCTTATTTTGCTTCAAAAACCAAACTTCAAATTTCAATCTCTAAAAAAAAAAACTATTTTGTTAGTAACTGTTTTTTTTAGTACATGTTAAAATTTAAACAAAGCCTTTTTTTCTTTACCTAGTGTAAAAAGTTGCATTCAAGCTAACTTCTTTAAATATAAGATTATAAAAGATTAATTTTAGAGTTAGTTTTCTAGCACTCTTTTGAAGCTAGAAATAATGTTTGTGATGAGTTTTTGCTTGTATAATTTTACATTCTTAAAAAGTACTTTAAAGTTGTATAAATAAGTTACTTGGGCAATTGATTTACATTAGCCAATCAAATGAATTTCTGCTATAACCCTTAATCTCTATAAAACTTACTACTTCAACATGTTTCTAGGATCACATTTTCTCATGACTCATAATATAAATTATTAAAGCATACTATTATAACTTCTTATTATATAATTAAGCATATTATTAGAGCACTATTGTGAAATTATTGCATTATGAAAATACAAATTATTAAACTACATAAATTATTAGAAGAAATTATTGTGAAATAAGTAAATATACTGCAAAAATAAAATAAACAAATGATTTGTATGAAAATAAACATCTTATAAATGTAAATTGCTAGCAATGTTTTTACTATTTCATAATAGTACTGCGATGTCTTTTGTTAATTTATCCAAAGTTTTTGTACTTTCAGTGTTCTTTGTTGAATAATTAATAGCAAATGCATGCTGAATAAATTTACACAAACAATGCATAGAATTTTAAGCCTTTAATTTGCCTAGATTAGTGGCATTTAACTAATAACTTAACATATTAGCAGTTGCAGATTTATCTATAAAAGCAATAATTTCCTCTTTTTGTAAAAGACCAGTTGTAGACTTATAGTTAATTAAAAATATTATTAAATGTAAACCAAAAATATATATTAAATATAATACTAAAATAACTTTTTTTCCTTAAAATCTTTAACTAAATCTTTAATACTATTGACTAATTTGTTCTGAAAATCTCCAAAATTTCTAGTTGCTATCTGAAGCCATTCTTTGTCTTCAGCAGAATTAAGTTCACACTTGAAGACTTTTCATACTAGCTCTTTAAATTCATCTTTCTGAGAATTTTGCATATGAATAAAAAAACATTTTAATTTTTTTAAAAAATTATGACAAGCTTTGTATTACTTTTTTGATTTGGCTTTGTAGTTAATCTAGAAAAGGTAGAAGATATAAATTGTGATCCTTCTATGACTTGCATTTGCATTAACAAATGCATATTATTTGCTAGCTGCAAAACATTTTTCACATAACTATAAGCAAAGCTGGTAGATCATTGTTTCATTAAAGGGTAAAGGAGCAACTTTATTTGTCATATTGAAATGATGGTTTGAATTATTTGTCATGTTATAAGTATTATTTGTCAGAAGGTTCATTGTATTATTTCTTGATCCTAAAAGTGACAGTTGTCTAGACCTTACAGTTTTATTTAAAGAAATATAGTCAAATTGCATATTTTTTCTTGAATTCAGAACCGATGTTGTTTTTATTCTTGAAGTTTTATTTAAAAAATCAAATTCATTTCTTGATTCTAGAGCTAGTATAGATCTGTAATAAATTAGACTGTTTTCTCTTGATGTCAGTCTTGAAGACACTATTCTATTTGAATAACCAATATCATTTGGCATTTGTTTACTGTTCCTTAAATTATATATTGATATTTTTTGAGCATTGGATTCAGTTTCAGGTGTTGATGACAATCTTAAATGCATGGTTGCAAAGTCTTGAGTTATTGATGCATCATCATTAAAAATATTATTAAAAACTTCATCATTATTGTAAACACTATCATCATTAGCATTAAAAATATTATCATTAATAGGAATAGCATTATTATTATTATTAGGAATATCATCTTTTAAAAGCTCAGTAATTTGTGATGATATAGGTGCAGCTATTTCTTGCTTCTTTTTACATTCTCTTTTTTTTTTACCTTGTATATTATTATTACAGTTATTTAAGAGCAAAGGCATACCTATTTCTTCTTGTTGCTTCTTTTTGCAACCTTTTTTAATGCCTGTACTTTTTAATGTAGTGGTATCATTCAACAAATTATTAAGATCATTTGAAGATAAAACAACTGCTTGTTTCTTGTAACCTCTTTTAGTAGAACTATTTGTGTTCATTTTTTTATTTGCGCACTTTTTTGTATTTCTATAACTTATTATTATTCAATAAAATAAAGAAAAAAATAAAAGTAATAATATAATCAGTAAAGAGAAAAAATGTAAAATAATATAAAGATAATTAATTATCAACTAATCAGTTAATTAGTTTTTATCTCTTAAACTATTTTGCAGTAAATTTGCCTGTAACTTTTGTAATTATAGTCTATACCTCAATATTCTTGAAGTTAAATTAATAGTTTTAAGTGAAGATATTTATACATACTGGATCAAGCTAATAATATTCTTAGCAAAGATTTTTTTAAAAAAAGCATCTAACTTAGTAGAGAATAAATTAAAAGTATTAATATTTTTACCTATTTAAAAATATCAAATTTTAACAATTTGTTTAATGCTGTTTTAGCTATATTCTAATTACTAACTTATTTAAATTCAATTTTCAATTTCTGATCGATTACAGTTCATGTGAAGCTATATATAAATAAATAATAAATTTTTATTAAAATAAATCTTTTGCAATGTTTTACAATCAATATATTTTCTATAAAAAGCATCAAAATTAATAAGAAATTTATGAAATATATCTAATATATAGTTGAACTCTAAAAAACATACTAATAAAAAAACTGATTATAAAAAGATGAATAATTATAAGAAACAAATGATTATATAATACTAGATAAAGAATCATTTGATGAATTGTTAAGCAGCAAAGAAATAGGTTATAAATATTCTCTTGATAATGAAATATTGAATAAAGAAAAAATATCAGCATATTTTAATAATGAAGTGTCAAATAAAAAATCTAATTCTCTTAATGTAATATTAAATAATGATGAAATGCTAGTAAATTATAATCATGAAGTACCCAATAGAGAATCTGACAAAATTGTTAATAAAGCATTAAGTAGCAAGCAAATATTATCTGTTAGTAGTAAATTTTCTCAGTATTTTAATAATATTACTGAAGTGTTGATGTTTTTTTGGATCCAAAAACACAACATATGTAAGGAAATTTTATTTTATTATTAATAAATTAGTAAAAATTTAAATTAAAATTTGTTGTATATATTTTATAGCCACTTAAGCTTATGATAAATTAGTAAACATAATTCACAATTCAAAGTTTAAAAATAAGGATGTTATAACAAATATTCATCATTTTAGGAAGTATCAGTAAAAATTGCTTTTACTTCCAATAAATTACAAAATATTCATATTTCAAACAAAAAAACACGATCTATTTCCAAAGATACTAGAAAAATGTATTATCTGTCTATTACTAATATCATTTGGCATTCTTTAAATAACCCTTTATTGTTTAGTCAAATGTACTTCAGGCCAGGTCAAAAAGTCATAAGAAATCATGAACTTTGGCACAAAAATATATGGAAGGAGTCTTCATGATTTGTGCAAGAATTTGTACAAATTAATAAAAGTATGTCACTTATTGTATTGCTTATTTATATTTGTAAAGCTTAGAACTATAGTATTAAATAACATAATAAATTTATTAATTTTAGCAGTATACAAATGTGATGAATTTATAGTTTATAGAGATTTGATAATAGAAAATAAATATGGTCAAATTTTATCGATAGTAAATATAGATGGCAAGCTCAAAGCAATAATTTAGTATGTTTTGATGTTTAATGAATTACCAAATAATTTACAAAGTAATAGTTAAAGAAAAAAATCTTGTAATGAGCTATAGTTATTAGATCAAGAAATAGACCATTCAACCATAATTATTGAATTACAAAGTATTGTAAGAGTCACTCCAATTGTTATCCTTTATAGTAAAGATAATATAAATATATTATCTTCTTCAATTTTTATTTATGAAATTCTTTATAAATATCAGAAACATTGGAAGTTAAGAAGCATCAAATATTCTTATAAACATCCTTCAGAGTTTGCAGCATTAGAGGTATCAGAAATGAACCTTTCAATTTATAAGTTATATATCGACCTTTATTATGATGATTTTGGTACATATTGCAATATTTATTATTCACTTAAGAGCATTTATATTCAAATTAAAAATTTACCTTATAATAAAAGAAAATTACTTAAGAATCATTTTGTCATCAAGTTTGTTTCATTTGGTGGTTATTTTAATAATTTTATTATGCCTTTTGTTAATGAGATGAAGGAACTAGAAAAAAGAATAATAATAGATATACAAAGAACTAAAAGTTTTGTTATTGCAAGTCTTAAAAACCTGACAGCTGATTTATCACAGAGAAATAATTTAGCTAAAATTAAAAGACATGGTGTTTTAAGAGAATGTCATACCTGTAGTATAGTAAAGGATTTTTGGACTTCTAGTAATCTTGATTTATTATTAGTTTCCTATTATTATCATCTTACTAATAGCCAATTTGAAAAAATTTCTGCAGTGCTAACAGAACAAAGAGGTAAAGAGCTTGCCACAAAGTATGGATTACATTTGCAACTGTCAATACTTGATAAATTAAAGTATAAAAGACATCTTTAGTCACTACAAGATGTCTATCATCTTATAGTCAGCAAAGTGTTAAAGTTTTTAAAGATAACGATTGATGCATTTTCAACAAAGGGAAAATCATTATTTATTAAGTTTTGGAAATCTTTTGAATATCCAAGAACATTGCACAAATTGCTGAATCCAATCATACATATTGACAGTTTTATAATATCTGATTGTTTACATCTAGCTATGATAATACTATTTATTCTTAATAGATTTTTAAAACCTTCACATTTCAAAAATTTTGAACTTATTTTATTTCAACAACATACAAAGATTTTCAGAAATGATTTAGCTACAAAACTTTGGTTGAAATGTTGAATATTAATGGCAAAAACAATGATAATAGTATTTAAACAATATTTTACAGATTCCAATTATATTGAATTGCATGAATGTTTAGATAATGAATTAAAATTATTTTTACAAGTAATTATTGAACATTAATTGTTAAATAATAAATAGCAGTTTAAGTGCATAAAAATAGCAAATTTGATAGTAGAAAATATATGAAAGGAATATATAGTAATTCACTGCTGATTTTTATTATGAAACTTATACTCTTCAACTGCAAACTACTATTTAAATATTGCTATTAATATTAGACATACATAATATATCTATTAATAATAGGCATTTAAGGATTTTGAAAATTTTCCAAATTTACATACTAATTACCATTTAGTTCTGCATGCAAAAAATTATGCAACTTTGTTAAATACAAGTGTAGAAACCAAAGAAATGATGCACCATATATTCAAAAATGATGTATTACAAACAAGTTGAAAGAATGTAGACCTTGGCTTGTTAAAACAATATACAACATTGTTTGCAGTATACCATTTATTTGACAATGATATTGACAGACATTTTTTTTTACAAATAATACTTTAATAAATCTTTTACACCAATTTAAGTGTTTAATGAATAATTGGTTTATTATTGAAAAATCTTTCAATTCCAAAAATATAAATAAAGGTTTGATTAAAATATCTTTATTGAATATATAATTTTAAATAATCTTATATATTATTTTTTACTAGATGAGCATGTCTCAAATGTAGTCTTAAAGAAACATGTATCAAAAAACAAGATTGAATATTTGTTAGAGAATTCTGATTTCCATAGAAAACTAGCATCAGCATATTAGAAAATAGGTTATAAGTCAGCATTTTTTTCAAGTTCTTGTTGATATTATGAACTCATTTGTTTTTCTGTAGATGATAATATTGATATACATTATTATCTGCATATTGGTAATGTTGTAATTTTAATATCTAAGAAGGATAATAAAACTTTTGCAGTTCTATAATCAATTTTTAGCTATAAAAGGAATAATCAATATTTTGCTTTTATTATGATTAATATATTTGTACTCACTAATCAAATAAAATTAGAATGCCCAGTTTATAAGCTTCAAAATACATGACAAATTCGTTCTATTAGTGAAATTAATACAAAAAGTATAGCATATTTCATTCATTATTGTAAAGATAATGAATGTATTAGTAGTAGTGAACATAATTTGAAGAATAATTTATATATAAAAAATATGTATTTCTTCAAAGCTGTATAATACAATAATACTAATTAGTATACAAGTCTTTTAATCTGATTAAATAATCACAAAAATAAGATTTATATATTTTATATTACAGTATTAGCATTAGGTTTTTTTTAATAAACTGATTACAATATATATTACTCCTAGTTGACTGTACTCTCTTGATTTATACTAAGTATATTATTAGGTCTATAATCTGTATTTTTAGTACAAGACCTAGTATGATAAATAGAAATTTTATGCACATAACACATAAAAAACATATTGTTTTCACAATATGATCCTTATACAAGACTCTTTGTATAGTATACTCTCCTCTATACAATATACTCAATGTATAAATCAAGAAAAACTGATGTAGATAGTAAGAGACTCCAGGTAGTTTTCATGATAAAAGACAGTAGTCTCATTTTCATAATATATCTCAATAATTTGGATAATGAAAACTTATATAGTAGAGAATTTGAATTTCAATAAATGTTAATTGATTTTTTAATGTCTGCAGCTTTAATTGAGATGTGTTTATTCAAACTTTCTTGAATTTTTATTTAAGCAACTCATTGAAACCCATGCAATACATGGACAAATAAATTAGAACAGAATAAAACTGCATAAAATTTCAGAAAACTGTAAATGCAGATTTTGATTTATGAAGCAAGTTTTACTAATATTTTGCAGCTAAATATTATATATGAATTTTTTATAATATAGGATTTTTGTAACACAAATTTTTCTCTTACAAACAGGTCTTTTTCACAAAGCTTTAGGACAGAAAGCTAATATGACTTATTGAAAAACAATAATTAAAATATTATGTAAACTATTTTATTTTACTTTTATTTTATTTGGAACAACAGATATATTATCTTCTAGTACAATTATCATATTTTTGTAAAATTATGTACATGCATGCTATTTTGTGAAAATACAGTAATATGATATAGCATTTATCAATTTTTTTATTTTTTTTATTCTGTTTTCACTTTCTTGTTCTGACTTCTTGTAACTTTTTTTTAATTAAATAGATTTTTTTCAAGTTTTCATTTGTCTTAGTTTAATTATTTATGTTTCTGCTTAGAGATTCTACTGAAATGAATTCATTTAAATAAGTTATTTAAACTTTACTTAATAGATCTATACCTTAATGCATTGTTCAATTTTCATTCCTAAATGAATATTAACTTTTTTTATTTTGATAACTATTTTTGTTTTAGTAGTATTGGTTATATTTATATGTTTTTTGAATAGCTTCATATTTTTTGTTATGTGCTGTAGTTATTTTTATTTAGTAATTCAGGCAGAACTGTCTTAGTGAATTGTATGAAATATAGCAAGTTACATTACAGTTGTAACAAAAATCATATGAATTCCAAATGCTATATAAATTTTAAATACTATATTGATAATATATGCATAATATATAATAAGTATGCCTATTAACAAAATCAAAGTTTTTTCTACTATTGATTTAAACAATACTAATTAATAGTAATAACAATTTTGTTATAATTTCTCAGCAAGTATTCAAAATTTTGCAAAAAAATGAAAGTGTAACTTTATAGTCTTATATAATATCTACAAGGTTACACTTTTTTTTTAAAAAAAAAATTTTGACCATTCATTATAAAAATGCCTGATGAATGATAAAACTTTTGTCATTGATGAAACCCTTTATTAATTAACTTCTAAATGATGAAAACTATGATAAATAATGATGTATAAGACAATCTTTCTTTTTTTTCATAATTGAAATATATTGGTCTATAGAAGTTAATATTTTTGTTTTGTTTTAATTATTATATCTATCTATTTTCTATTTTTAATTTGTTATTTTTTTCTTTTTATAATCTGATGAAGATGTCGATTATCTAAAAATATCTAATAGGACTTATGAAGAAAACTACTGATTTTAAAAAAATAACAGCTTCAAATATCATGTATCATCAAACTAAAAGTTAACATTTGTATAAGCTTGTTAATTTTTTTGTATAATCAACTTTATTATATAATAAACTAAAAAGTTTATCATTTAAAAAAATTACTGTTTTTATATAAACTAGTAAAACTTTAATAAATTAAGATAATTTCAAAAAATTTAAGATTTGATATATCTGAAGATCATTATAAGAAAATTGATGAAAAGTGGCTAACTGTATTTTGATTTTTCATTAGTAAAATTGTTTGTTAAGGTTTCACTAATCTTCATTGGTTTCGTCAATTGTTAACAGCATGTAATAGTATCATTAAGTTAATTCAAGATCATTTTCATTTTTATCTTTTGCAGCTTTATTTTCACCATATTGAATTTGAATTCATCATCTGTAATTTTGCTATTATAATATTTAGCAGCCTTCTCATTCTTCTTATTACTGAATTTTACAGATATAACTTCAAATGTTGCTTTTTCTGTTTGGATCATTTTGCATATATATGTCTTATTATCATTTTTTATTAAAATTATTATTTCAATATTATCATTATCATTATACTTTAACTATTTGTTTTTTTTTAATCATTATTAACTATTATATGCTATGTTTTTTGTAACTATCAAATGGATATAAATATTAAACCTGTATTACAAATCTAGTAATAGTTATTAAAAAAAGATAAATATATATATGGATTTGACAAATAATGTTATACAATATTTATCAGAAAAAAATATTATTAATTTTTTACTTATTTTCTTTTTAGGGTCAGATTAAGGTTTTAAGAAGCATTACATTAATATATATTTCAAAGAATAATATGCAAAAGAATCAAACTCTATTGAGATAAGTTATGCTTGCTCCAAATTCTAAACTATTATAGTTTGGCTTTGGCCAATAACCTAGAGAAAGGACTATTAACATTACTTATCTAATTTTACACATAATGTGATCAATAATTATATGTTTAATTTTATAATATACATTACAGATATAATCAATCACTAGTTAAAATATATATACAGTACCTTTAGGTCATTCTTTATACTCATCAACTAAATTAATGTAAATTAAATGATTTGAATATAATGGTAGATAAGTAATTATAATCTTATCTTGTGAACTTGTTTTTAATAAATATTCATACTTATCAAAAAAATTATTATAAATAAAATAATTCAAATATAATGTTAAGTAAGTATTATGTCTCTTGTTTTGTAAACTTGTTATACTGTTCTTATTTCTATTTGCTAATATGTGTTTTTTATACCTACTAACTAAATGATTTAAACACAATAGTAAATGAATATTTATATTTTTGTTTTGTAAACTTGTTTCTTAACATTATTTATTAATAAATTTGTCTATTTATTGATAAAATTAATGTGAATAAAATGATTTGGGCATAGTAAAAATACTGTAAGTATTTATGTTTTTTTGTTTTGTGAACTTATTTGCAAATAGATGTAATTGAAATATCAATAATGTTTGTG